TGACGAAGTAATTGAGTATGATTTAATTGTGTTTGCTACTGACCTTCATGGTCATTGATTGTATTCTTCTCAAGCTCCCATGATCCTTGATTGATATTCAATTGTAAATTCAACATGGTGATAGAAAGGAGCAACATTTCCTCTAATTTTTGACCGAATTATGCATATGCATGTTTCCCTTTTGCCTATCATATCTAACGTTTTGATAGTTTCTATCATGTTTCCTCACTTCATTATGGTGTCATCACCATCCCTTATGTGAGTCATCATTCTACTTTTGGGAATACTAACTTGGCTGTTGAATGTGCGAGGTACTTTGAGAAATGTTTTCCATTTTTGACTTGAGGCTGTTGTGTTTCACTTTATTTGTGGAACACAATTTATTATGTTGGCACTACTCTTGTACTTGGCATATTTGATAGTCTATGCAGGATATATATATGTGATTATGAATGCTATACATTGCCCATGGGATCTGTTCATATCTGGAAATCTTAATACTTACATCCTGATGGAGTAATTTCTGACTTGATTTGTCTGTTGATGCCAGCTTGCTTGAAGTTCTCTGGGTTTCTTTTATTCTTGTTCAGTTGCTACGGATAGTTATCCATTTGGTGTTGCACTATTTCCTCTCTTCTATTTTCATTTTGTATAGTTTTGTGTTGCATGATGGGACTTCGGTTGCAGATATATGTTAGGAGGCCCTCTGTTTTGTTTGATACATGTGTTGTGTTTGTCTTTAATTGTTGATCGATGAGTCACTCAATTTAGAAATTGAGATCACGACTTCGCTCTCAATGCATGTTCCCTATAGGATGTTTATTGTTTTGTTTCTTTAATTGTTGATCGATGAGTCACTCAATTTAGAAATTCAGATCACGGCTTCGTTCTCAGTGCATGTTCCCTATAGGATGTTTATTGTTTTCTTTTTTAATTGTTGATCAATGAGTCACTCAATTTAGAGGTTGAGATCACGACTTCGCTCTCATTGCCTGTTCCCTATAGGATAGTTTTGTTAATCTGCCTTTGACATGTTAATTAAGGTAGGAATCCATGTATGCTAACATAAGGTAGGATTTTCCTTTATCCTCAACCTTAGGGTCAATCATTGTATGATAACACTAGGGATAGTGCTAGGCTAGTTTCCCTTCACTACGCCAAAAATGATTTTTTGTATCACCTAATTTAATAGCACTTTTAAAAAAAATGCTATTAAAATGGAAAAAACACATTTATAATAGCACTTTTTAATCGGGCGCTATTATATAATACAGACTATGTAATTATGATAGCACTTTGTACCAGAACGCTATTATTAAACTTCTTTAAGATAGCATTTTGTATAAAACGCTATTATTTGACTACCTATATAATAGCATTTATTAAAAAGCGCTATGTTATATATAATAATGAATTAATTAATTAATTGATAAAATAAAAAAAAAACACATTTTCAGAAAATATCTTCCTCTGCTTCCCGCATCCACTCACCGCCAAAAACAAAAACACTATCTTCCTCTGCTTCCTTCTTAGCCATTGATTCTCCCAACTGATTCACCGCCGTCAAATCTTCCTCTGCTTCCTTCGGTTTTCATTGATTCACCGCCATTAGTCATTGATTTACCATCGTCATCCCTTCCTTCGGTTTTCACCCGGATCCATTCTTCAGCCATCGGATTCACCATCGATTCAGATTCAGATTCACTTCTTAAACGACACTCAAACAGAAGGAGGAAACACCGAAAAGAAAGAACAACCAAATCTCATTCTCCGTCGAACTCAACCCTTTGTCATCTCACCTACGTCCTCGTCATCCCTCTCTTCATTTGTATCCGGTAATATTTCTTTTTTCAGTTTCTGCTATCCGTTGATTCTCTGTGTTGTTTGTGAGCGTTATGATGTCTTTATGTTGACGGATATTCGTGATTTTGAGTAGCTGTAATGAGGGTTTGTGAGGTTAAGTTGCAGTTGTGAGGGTTCGTGAAATTTGAGTTGTTAGGTTGGACATTTTTGTTTGCGGGGATCAAGTTCGCAAGGGAGCTGCACTTAACGCAATCCAGATTGCAGAAATGTTGCTGTGAGTTTTGATATGTCAAAGTTTTGGTACCTCAAAATTACGCCTCCCCAGTTTTTGAGTTAGTTTTGTATCTGCTAGTTGGAAGGGATTATTCTTAGTTTTTGTAAGGTTTAGTTAGTCAAAAGAATTTTTCCAGTATCTTGTAATACACTAGCTTGAACTATTTCTTTTTCATGGCCTTAATTATTTACATATTTTCTGTAGTTCACCCCTGTGAGAATGAATAACAAGCATTGGACGCGTCACACAAAATGCTACACCGTTTGCCAACTAATCAAAATTAGATTTACTTCCTCTGTTTTCATATTAGATGTTTTGCTCTTCTGTGTTTGGTTGAAATTAAGTAGAAGGAAGTTACATTTCTCCTAATGTCTAAACTAATTTTATCTCCCTTCCAAAAGTTAGGTATTTAGAATGAGTGTAATACTTTTATAGTTAATAGTCTTAAATGTTTATTACAAAGAGATGAAAAATGTAATTTGTATTTTTCTTCAATTAAAATCTCTTTTATTCTCTTGTTGGAACAAACACAAGCACACTCCTTTTAATTTGGACAGTATATTCACTGCTACCAGCACTGCTTCATACCTCTTAGACTTTAGAAATCCTGTAATGCAATCTAAGGAAAGGTCTTCTTCCCAAACAACATTAGGAACTAAGCGAGGTTGTAATAATCCTGAGAATTGTTGTTGCATAGTTTTGTCTGTGACCTATGTCACAAAGGTCACAATACCTCACATAATTCCGACTTTCTTTTGTATTTCAACCCAATACAGGTTTGCGGCTAAAAATCTGTAAGTTCTAAGGAAGCATGAATGTCCTCCCGTAAGGAAATAGAAGGTGAAGTATGAGGTAAAACCTAGGGACATACTATTTTATAAAACCTAGGACATATTATTTTGTCAAATCTGCATTTAGCGTTGTTAGCCACAAAGCAGTCATTTGCTGATGTTGTTAATGTTTATTTCAAATGACTTAAATTTTCCTTCTCATTCATATTGTACACCAAAAGGTCATAAAAAAGACATAACATATTTTCTAAGGTAGGTCCTGAATATATCATTCATAGTGGATGGAATGAAGTTTTATGGAGAGCAAAAAAGTCAGTACATTGGTTGAAGATGAGTTGAAAAGTTTGTTCTAGTTTGAGTGATAAGGCTTCTGTTGTTTTGGTGTGATTTAGTCACAATTAATCGATTCTTCTTTTCAATCCAAGCAAAAATTGGCATTTCGTTAATGTTGGATGTTTTTTTGATTTCAGGAAAAACTTGATCAGTGGCTCTGTAGACAGCAAGAGGGTGGATCAAGACTTGCAAACTTTGATATAATTAACTACATTCAGGTTGGTTTCATCACTGTTCTATGTTTTTCATACAATGTTGAGGTTTTATTATTGTTCTCTGTTTTATCATTGTCTTTTGACATGATTCTCAATCCTAAACAAATGAGTTTAATCAACAACAATGGTCTCATATTAATCTCACTATGGTTTTTGCTCCACTTTAGCTCTAATCTTCTGCTCCAAAACAGAAAACCTCAGTTTCAAGACCAAACATTCTATTCAAAGCATGCATATTCTCAAGTGTTTCACTCAAAGTCCTACTATCACTCCCATCACATCTCAAATGTTGCATTGGACCATGAAGCATTTTATTCACTATACCTCTACCAAGATCATCCACTGCTTTTTGTGTCTTCTTATTTATATCCTCATCACTCATTTTACCTAAACATTTCTCAACCTCAGCAATCCTTAACCTTTCAGCATAAGCTCTCAGTTTCTTGATAGTAGGAACAGTTTCTAACGAGTCTCTCCATGATTCGAATTGGCCCGATTCTTCGCCGATGATCACTTGTGCTTCCATTGCTTTTCTTAGTCTGTCCTCTTTGTTAGCAGCCACTACCTCTTTAAGGTTGTCGACATTGTAAACTTTGACTGATTCGAGGTCATCGACGCACGAACCTACGTTCCTCGGAACAGAAATATCGACGAAGAGGCGCTTTCGTCCCATTTCTTCACTTGCGAAAGGAAGTTCCTTAACATGTTGTTTTAAAATCAAAGGATTCTCTAATGTCGTGCTTGTGAAAACTACATCCGCTTCGCCTACGCATTCGAGCATATCAGAAAGCGGTTTGTAGATTATCTCGACATCGTTTATTTCATCGCGGATAGCAGATACAACAACCATTCTTGCACCATGTCTCAGAAGTTCAGCTCTTCCTTCTGCACACTGACAGAGACATTCCAATAAAACCAACATCATTTCATTTGGTTTTCTGTCTTTGTAATTCTCTAACAGAAGCTCTATTAAGACAGGAACTGTTCCTGCTTCAACACCTTTGATTTTGTTTCTTCCACATGGACAGAGGATAATTAGTGTCTGAAGGGCTGCTTTTGATACCTTTTGTGATATTTGATCCTTCAAAACTTGCACCAGTTCCACGAATAAATCGGTTTTTTGATGAAGTAACTGCACTGGTTCAGCTACTTCTGTCATAGATTTAAGTAAGAAAACTGCATAAGCTCTTGATTCAAAGAAACCTTTCTGTAAAACTTTTGTTAAGGACTCGATAAATTGACCGTTTTTGAAAGCTAGTAGATTCTTCAATCCAGCTTCAGATACATGAAGGTTATGAAGTATGCTTAATGCTTCATCAACCAGATTAACATTAGTCTCTGACAATAATAAAGATGCGGAATCGATGTTGCAACTATTGTTTACCACAGTAGAAGCTAAGAAGTCAACAACACCAGCACATAATATTGGCACTTCCATATTTTTTTATTTCCTTTTAATGCTTAGCTTAATATTGCTTCGTTTTCAATCCAATCAGATATTGCGCCAGCTGAAAGTGAAGAATCATATCACTATTATTAGCGAGCTTTCAACAGTAATGTCAATTGATTTTAAGAAGACTTTAAATGGCGTTCACCCAAGCTTAAGCGATTCATCAAATGGCGCACCGCTAAGCATTAGCAATGACACTCTTGCTGCATTAACTGGGGTTGTTCATTCATTAAAGCAGGAAAAATAACAAAGGCTACAAAAGGTGACCTTTTCTGATCTACTGAAATACTGGGAATGAAGTCATACCTGTGGCTGCATGTATATGTATGTGTCTCACTGTTGCCATTTCAAGTAATACAGATCATCTCATCTGATACAGCAAATTATCATTGTAAAAGCTTTACCAAGAGTTGCGGTTTAGTGTTAAACGGCTATAAGCATCCTAGTCAGCTCATTCATTTCTTGCATTGAGTTGCAACAGCTTTTGATACAATGTCTGTTATTTTCTAGTATCTTGCTCTGTAATCTATTGGAATTTAGGTTATTCTGAAGTAAAAAGAAAGCGTATTGGTCAGTAAAACTCAATTTTGTTTAAACATGGTTAAAATTTCTGTTAAAAAAGGTTTAAGACGCAACGAATGAAACTTAAGTCATGATTTTTCTTTTCTTTACCCATGGAACGAGTCTTTTTGTGTATGAGATATGTTTGCTTCTTTTTCCAATATGGCGTGAGGATGGAGTCATAAGGTCGGAAGGGTATTATTGTTTTAATTCATGTAAATAAATAAGAATGGATTGCATGTATGATTGTTACTGATGGAGCACTCTTTTCCAAACAGGTTCTTAAAAGATTTATGAATATAATTTTACTTTCTTGCAGGTACAAGAACTTACTAAGTTCTTGGTAGAGTTATGGGATCTTATGGAGATGCCAATTGATGAGCAAAAAGCATTTAGCCATGTTACTAGATTAATTTCAGCATCAGTTGACGAAGTGTCAATCCGAGGATGCCTCTCTGCTGATGTCATTAAGCAGGTGTGAAACCTCCAATGACTTCAACTTGCATTGCAATTTTAATTGCATAGTTTGAATTTTGGTGGCTTGATTATTTATATTAATGTAGGTTGAGGTTGAAGTTCAGCGCTTAAATGTTTTGAAAGCTAGTAAGATGAAGGAATTAGTGTTTAAAAGACATAATGAACTTGAAGAAATTTACAAAGGAGTTCATATGGATGTGGATAGTGAAGCGGCTAGAAAGATTCTCACCAACCGCATAGAATCTGGTACATACATTATGCCTAAAGTATTATTAAAATTTTTTCTTGAAATGTTAATATGGCTACTTACAAATGTACCTTTAATTTCCTTTGTTTCCCTTTTAAATAATACCCTGTGGAGCTGTTGTTACAGACTTATATGTGCATTCATAATGCCTTCTCTTAGTTTCGATTTTCATTTAATAAGCTCTAATGGCTCTGCAGGTAATATCGATATGTCTGAATTGCTTCAAAGCATGGATGATCAAATCAGAATGGCCAAAGAGCAAGCTTTAAGCAGAAGAGATATCTTAGATAGGGTGGAGAAGTGGAAATTTGCAGCTGAGGAGGAAAAGTGGTTAGATGAATATGAAAAGGTATATATCATTCTTAAGTTTATTTCTAATAATTTTATTCTTAAATAAACCATATACTGATGCAGTTGAAATTTATCACCTTAGAGTACGCTAGATGTTATGTTATCATTTATATATTCAAATGTTTTTACGATTATTTCAACTCATATATTTAGCTTGTTGTTGTCAAAAGGGAAACTGATGAGTTTTGTTATGCACACAGGTTACAATAGCTTGTGGTAATTCAATTTCAGTTTATTTGCTTTTCCTTTTTAATATTTAACTGTTCACAATTTATGAGCCTTTACCTTATAATCTAAACTTAGATACTCACAAGTTGTGGGCCCCTCGTCTAAATAAAATTGATTTTTAGCACTAGGTAGGGTGGACCTGTGCATTTTCCATACTGAAACCCTTAAATATCCTTATGTCTGGGGTGTAGGAGACACGAAATCATTTATTTTCAAGGATTCACTCATAAATTTAGTTATCAGGACAATTAATCATTGATAGAGCAGAGTAGAATAGAAGACGAGTAAAACTGGAAATGATATTATTAATTGAAATGAGAATGAATTCTTTATTACAATTCCAGAGCTAAGAGCTCCTCTCAAATAAAGAAGAAAACAGTTTTTCTTTCTCTGCCAAAATGCTAACCCACAATGAACGTGTCTTCTCCCACTACCCTGCCTTCCTACTCTTAAGGAGAAGTTTGTAACTAAATTGCCTTAGTGGGTTTATGTGGAACTGTTCTCCACACCTCTCCTTTTCTTTCTTTCATAAAGTCTCCAAACCTTGTTAGACTTAATTAGTTCAATTATTGCATTAGTTATATCGATTTATTGTTATTAGTTTATAATAATCATTCCTTATTTTATGCGCTTCTTGTTAGACCCATATTAAATGTTTGATTATTCTTTATATGTTGAATTAGTTTTTATTGTACAATACATAATCAATATTCCTTCTATGATACAGGAAAACAAGAAGCAATTATTTTGCCTAATTAGTGATTGTATCTATGAGTTCAACGCTTTTGGATCATGAAGGTGGTTACTACATGGGATTGTTTTGTTATCCTTTCTTATTTTTTTGGTGTTTTGTTTAGAGAATTTGATTGTATGTTTTTGGATTTGGATTGAAGTACTCATAGATGGGCATCTACAAATTTGGCTATGCAAACGCCCTCTTAATATTCTATATGTTATGATATTTGGAAACAATAGGATTTGGTAATTTAAAATGTTATTTGGTATTTGATGGATCATAATATATATGCAATGAGTAACTTAAAGCGTTATTTGTGTTGAATTGAATATAGTTATTTTATATTTACACCAAAAAAAATGATTGTGTAAGAAAAAATATTGTACTGTACTTATTAAAAATATTGTACCAAATATGTACCATTTATTAGCACTTTATTTGAAAGCGCTATCAAACATATGTTATATATTAGCGCTTTTTGTTTAGAGTGCTATAAAAAAACAAACAAAAAACATGCAAAATACTGACTTTGATAGCACTTTAATTAAAACGCTATTATAAATTGGTACTTTAATAGCGCTTTTAAAGTGCTATTAAATAAGAAATATTTACAATAGTGGCGCGGTTAATAGCACTTGTAAGCGCTATCAAAAACAAAAAAAAGCGCTATTAAATAGCTTATTTGGCGTAGTGCTTAGCTGTTTTGTTTTCCTTCCTTTGCATTTTGCATCTTAAAACAAAAATTGTTTTCTTGGCAAATCATAATACACCTCTAATAAACTCAAACCCTTCTTCAAGGTAAAAGATACAAATCAATCTTATTTGTTTATGCGCCTCTTGGTTTTGTTTTTAAACCTTTTAGCCGATGTTTCGCCATCGCACATTTGTTTGAAGCCGATGTTTCTCCATCGCACATGTTTGTTATCCTACTTTGATTCTCAATATCATTGTCAGGTGTGATGTTTTCTCATCTGATTTAGTGATGTTTCACCATTTTTCCATGAAACCTTGTTATCTTTTAGCCGATGTTTCTCCATCGCACATTTGTTTGAAGCCGATGTTTCGCCATCGCACATGTTTGTTATCCTACTTTGATTCTCAATGTCATTGTTAGGTGTGATTGTTTTGTCATCCATTTTATTTATGTTTCACCATCTTTCCCATGATATCTTGTTATCTTTTATCCGATGTTTCGCCATCGCACATTTGTTTGAAGCCGATGTCTCGCCATCGCACATGTTTGTTATCCTACCTTGATTCTTAATGTCATTGTTAGGTGTGATGTTTTGTCATCCGTTTTATTGATGTTTCCCCATCTTTTCCATGATATCTCGTTATCTTATAGCCGATGTTTCTCCATCGCACATTTGTTTGAAGTCGATGTTTCGCCATCACACATGTTTGTTATCCTACTTTGACTCTCAATGTCATTGTTAGGTGTGATGTTTTTATCATTTGGTGTTTCACTATCTTTGACATGTTACTTTGTTATCATTTAGTCGATGTTTTACCATCTCTTTTTTTTGTTGTTTTATTTGATGTTTTTCCATCTTGACTGTCTTTTTCGTCTTAACTAAAAAACACAAACCAACCAAAATATATGAGCTGAACTACGGCTGCTCTGATTCCTTAAAAGGGATACATAGGTAAAGGGGAAGGGCCCAACCGAGCATAACTTTTGTTTTCCCTACATTGTTTTCTTTTGTTTCTTTCGCATGCATTCCCTTTTTAGCTTTAAGCCATAGACATAGGATTTGACCACACACATTAGATTAGATAACAAAAGTGGATACCGTAGAGTACTACGGGCGTGTGGGGTGCTAATACCTTCCCCTCGTGTAACAGACTCCCTTACCCGATCTCTTGGTCGAAAGACCGTGATTTCTCCCTTTTCAGGTTTTCTCGATGTTTACCTTTCCCTTTCGGCTGGATAAAAGACGTTTGGTGGAAACTTCATTGATGTTTCACTACATCCAGATGACAGGTTTTGGCTGGGCGATTTCAGCTGTCTACTTCATTGGGGACAGATTGACCTCTTGCTAGTCCATCCCGGAGTTAATCCTAGCTCTTGTTTGTTTTCCCTTTGGGTGTTTATTTTACCGCTTTGCATATTTATCTGCTTGCATTACATCCTATGTACACTTTACTTTCTGCATACGGGATTTGGCTGGACTGTTTGGATTCTGGATTCCTTGGTGGGTGGGTTGTTCCATGAGGTAAAAGGCCTCATACCCAGGCTATGAGTGAATTATATAGGAACTAGGAATAGAGTGGCCATGGAGGTAGTTCAGAGGTAGTTCGGATAGGTGTTATCATATGATGATACCGACGTTCAAGCTCTTATACTCTGATTTGGCTTTTAACCTTACCTTGACCTAGACTACACCCGTGAGAGGGGCGAGAAAATTTTCTTACAGGTACAGGTATTGTTGGTGACTTTATGTTGCGAAGGTGACTCAGGTTCCCATGATAGTTTTGAAGCTTTGGGATTTTCTTTTGATCTAGAGTTTATCCAGTGTGAAACTTTGATCCTGTCATGTTGCATCATAGCATAATTATTTCTAAAAAATGATGTATAAAAAATAACTAGCATGTGCATGTCATATTCCAGGGACATTTGAGAGTCTTTTTTCCATCAGAAATGGATAGCCTCCCGTCAGATGAGTTTGATTCAGTTCGTGTTAAAGAGCCCACCAGGCATACATTCGCTTATCAGATTCCTGCTATGGATGTGTCTGAATTGAAGAGGTTGAGTTCTTATTTGAAGGGTGATGTTCTGAATAATTTCAACAAAAATTATGGAAATTTGTTACTAATCCTTAACACTCTGGTTGACCCAATGGCTTTGATCACCCTCTTCCAGTTCTATGACAAGGAATTACAGTGTTTTACTTTTCAATATTATCAACTGGTTCCCATGCTAGAAGAGTATGTGCACCTACTTAATATCAAGTTGTCCGATGAAGTTCCTTTTGTCCAAGTGCCAGAGAAGCCGAAGTTCGAGGTTATTGCTGAAATTCTTCATTTGAGTTGGAAAGATGTTAAAGACAATTGGAAATCAAGTGAGGATACTACAGGGTTTTATTTGGATTTCTTAGTGAAGAAAGCTGAAGACTGGGCAAAGAAAGGGAATTGGAATGACTTCAGCACTCTGTTTTCTCTCATGATATACGGGATCATCCTCTTCCCTCGCAAGAGAAATTTCGTGGATTTGATGGCTATTTGTGTTTTTAGAAATAAGAACTCGGTACCGACACTCTTGGCAGATACTCTTTACACCATTCATTTCAGGCATGGAAAAGGAGGTAATGTAAGCTTATGCCATTCAATGTTGTATCAATGGTTTAATTTTCACCTACCGGTAAGTGGTCCTTTCATGGATACCAGGCTTTTTCTCCGATGGTCATCAACACTTGTCAACCTTACTTCATTTGATATCCGGTGGAATTATGACATGGGAGAAGTACGAAGTATTATCACCAGCTGCGGAGATTTCCCTAATGTTTCCCTCATAGGAAATAAGGGGTGTATCAACTATAATCATGTGCTTTCTGATCTTCAATTGGGATATGCAATTGATGGACCGCCAAAGGTTGAGGAGGTGTCTGAATCAGAGTATTTTGTTAGAGGAAGTGATCATGTGATGTGGAAAAGAGTGACAAGTGCTTGGAAGGGAATTCACAAGAAGGATAGAACTACTTTGGGCAAGAAGGTTCCTATTTCTAGGGTTCCTTACTTGGAATGGATTAGAGCCAGTGTTAAGATTTTACGGTTACCATTTGCAAGGTCGGCTCCTATATGTGAGCAACCTCCTACTGTTCTGAGTAACACGGTGGCAACCGAGGTGTTCACCCAGGTTTATGTTGAGAATATTCAACTTCGTGCAAAATACCATGAGGCAAGGATGAAAATTTATTGGGTAGGTCAAGAAAGGGCCGACTTAGCTCGCAAACTCAAAGAAGCTCAAGGGGAAACTTGTGATGTAACTAGTTTTAGGAAGAGATCTCATGCTGAAATGGAAGAGGAGTTGAGTAAGGCCCAGCAAGAGTGCCAAAAGCTTCAGGTATCTGAGAATAGCTACAGGAAGACGATTCAGAACTTGGAGAAACATCTCAAAGACAAAGATGCTCAGCTTAAGAAGGAAGTAGCCCAGAGGCGTGTCGCAGAGGATCGGTTTCAAGAAAGTAAAGTGGTCGCATCACAACTTTTAAAGGAGAAAGCCAGACTCGAAGAGTATTGTCAACACCTTGAAGCGTGTCTTGTTCCGTAGATTTAGTTTTTGTTACTTACCTTTGGTATATTTGGTCACCCTCAGTATTGTTGGAAGGGACCACTGTTTGTTTTTATTCTTCAGTTTTTGTTAAGTTTACTTTGAAACACGTATTTTGTTGTTTATCGCTACACTCTTAAATTTCCGAAGTCACTTAAACATCATTTCTTTTGTTTGTAAATAATTGTAGTGTTTGTCTTATTGGCATTTTTCCTTTGAATGTATGATTGATCTTTGGTTGCACGCCGTGATTGATGAATAAAAGGACTATTGAATACCGGGAATGACAAACATATCATGCACAATTATGCATTTCATAACATTACAGGTTATCTCAAGACGGTATTCTTATTCTTCTGCTTTTCTTATTCAGAATTCAAGATGACTACTCATTGGTATTCCACTAGAAACAATTTGCCAAGACAGATGGAACAAGTTCAAGTTGAAATCGTTGAAATGAGGGCCCAGATGGCTACCCAAATGACTCAGTTCATGGAGTTCATCACCAATGTGAATCGCCGACAAGAGGAACTGGCTGCCATTGTCAACAACCCACACCGCAATCTAGGGGATGGTGGAAATCAAGGGCTCTATCAGGACATTTCTGTAGGATTGGGGGATGTGCAAGATCTGCCTGTTGGAAATTTTCACGGGATTCCCGGAAACCCTTTTGTGCACAACGTAGGACTGTTTTCCCCGTCTATGCGGCATCGTCTTATTGGGAACAGAAGATATAATCAGGGCGGTGTAAGGAATTATCAGGAGCAGGATTATGCCTTTGACAAGGATG